TTCATCAACAACAATGTCGTCATTGATTATCCACTTTATTCTTCATTGATGACAATTCTGCCATCAACGACCTCTACTTTCAACATCATCACTATCGACGATGGTATTTAATGACTTGTTCTCAACAGCATTGGAGCCATTTTCCTTCTTGCGATGAGAAAGTCGCTTCATTGTCAACAACACTGTCGTCGAGATCTGGGTGCATATGTTCCAGGAGAAACTCTAAGTGGGCTTCGCCTACAAACTACTAATATAGCCTCCTGCAATGAGTGTGCCCCTGTTTGCATACATCCTTTGTATGTAGAACCTCAAATTTAAAATGCTTGTACCCTGTCTGCAATGTAATATCTCAAGGGAGGAGGATGTGAGGCCCCGGGCCATGTCTATATTCCACCCACAACATCAATTGATGTTGTGTTGTCTGATAATTATGTCATGACGCTAATTTAGCATCACAGAAGCTTCTCTATTTATTTGTGCTGAGAATGTATTCAAATGTATATAAACCCCCGGGATAGCTGTAAAAGGTGGACCGGCCTTTACTTCTACCCCATCAATATACAGCCCATAAAAGCATATTATCAGATGGACCACTTGAGGCCTAAGGCAAATGGGGGAACGGAACATACTGTCCCCAAACAAGTAAGCATTCCTACACCCTAATATTGCCCCACATGTTATTTACATTGTCACAGGGATTTGCCGGTGTACCATAAATGAGCCAAATCCCGTGATTCCACTACCCTCAGCAAGCATCTCACATCCATCACATGTAGCCTATATCCCCTCACACGCCTTACACACTTTCCTATTTTTCCCCACTTTTCTGATTCCATTTCTGGTGTCTAGAGCCCGATGTTTCCACTTCCTTACCATCATGTGATGCTCTTTCCTTATTGGTTTTATCGGACTCTTCCGTGACCCACTGTACAGTTAGGTAGAGAGTTATCAGCACCAGACTCGACTGGACCAATATACCACCATTGACCTGACCCTCAGTGAGGATCCTTATCCCCCCTCTTTCCTGTCACGAGTCTAGTTGGATAGACCCGTTACAACGTGCTGATGGCATCCTAGACGAGCACCAGTGCCCTCCAGGCTTTCACATGCATACTGGTACTCTTTGGCAACACACTCATGTGTGCATGGCTGTACACACACACTTCACGATGTACTGGCTTGATGGATGCAAGCTCCCTGCCAGGGATATTTTCCCTCAGTGTAGCAAAGAATATTGGGAGACGACTGAACATGAAGAGGTGATGAAGTGGGCTGACAATGTGATGGATGCTGTTGTGGGGACAAGTCCATTGTTGGAGGGCAGCGCATATAGTGCCGAAAGGCACTAGCATGTGACCCCTTCCGGACATTGCCGGAAGGTTTGGTCTGACCAAGTTTACTTGGTTAGGCCATGTGACTTGTTCCCACAAGTCACACTTTCTTCCTTATTTCGGACTTATCCGTGAAGGCCACAAACTATATTCATACATTTGAATTAGTTTCTTTTTCCCTCGGTTCTCACACATATAGTGAGACTGAGGTTAGTTGTCTTTCTTTCTTATATCTTATAACTCATTGTATATTACCTTATAGCTTTAGCATTAGGTAATATTACAGTTCTCATGCATATAGTGAGACTGAGCTTTAGCATTAGCGCTTACTCCATTATCTGTGCACCGCAAAAAGTCGGATTCTGCAGATTCTGCCCAACAATGCACACTACATACCCACCGATGCTTCCATTGCTCATTACCTTACTATCCAACACTCCATACACTCATTCCTTATTTTTCCATATTTCTCCCATCATCCCCAACAGCCCCAAGTCAATTTCCCATGCCCAACCACACCACCAATTTCACCCCCTCCCCAGACCTCCCCAACCACACATCAAACCCAGCTGTTTTTCTACCCGATGGCGATGCTCTACCTTCCCCCCCTACCCATGGAGCATTTCCCGGAATGGAAATCCCATGCTTGGATGGTTCAGCATGGTGTAGAGCCTCACATGGTCTTGACAGCACTGTCATATCCATGCATACCCGATCCCAACCTGACTCCTGGACCTCCTTCTTCACCACCTCTGGAGTCCTACCCTACCGCTGTCCGTTCCAATATTCACCTTCGGTCCTGGCACCACACCTCCTCTCACCTCCCATGCCACCTCCACTCCTCCGTCCCTCTCCTGTCCTATCTCCATCCATTCTGATACTCACCTTGGACTGAACACCACTCCTCTCGCCACCATCCTCCTACTCCTCCCACTCCTCTGCTCCCTCCTCACAACACCTCCACCCTTCTGTCATCCTCCTACTCTTCTCCCATCCGCTCCGATACTCACCTTCAGACCTGACAACTTTCCTCTCCTCCACTCCTTCTTTCTTTCCTCTTTCCTCTCTCTTCCCTCTGGCCCTCTTCTGCCGACTGTCATATCCATGCATACCCGACCCCGACCCGACTTCCGGACCTCCACCCTCTTCACCTCCGGAGTCATACCCTACCGCTGCCGTTCCAATACTCACCTTCGGTCCTGGCAACACACCTCCTTCTACCCCCCATGCCACCTCTACTCCTCCTTCCCTCTCCTCCCCTATCTCCGTCCGCTCCGATACTCACCTCGGACCGAACACCACCCCTCTCGCCACCCTCCTACTACTTCCCCTCCTCCTACTCCACTCCTCCTTCACAGCACCTCCACCCTCCCATCACCCTCCTACGCTTCCCCCGTCCGCTCCGATACTCACCTTCGGACCTGACAACTCTCCTTTCCGCCACTCTTTCTCCTCTCTCCTCCCTCTGGTACTCCTCCGCCGCCCTCCTGCCAAGTTACGACCTTCCACCGCTGTCCCATACTTCATACTCGGACACCGCTCGTACCTTTGCTCCGAGTCTCCATCATAGTCCCTACCTTGGACTTTGACTCCACCTCGGTCTTAGTCCATTGCATTGGTGACCTCATACTACATAAACACCATTGCCAATATCCCTCGGACTTTCAACCCCGCCTCTGTAACCTCCGTAAGCTCTGCAACCTCCGAGCTTCGCGGATCACCTTCGGCACTTTCGCTGCTTGTAATGTATCTCTCGCGTTTTCCCCTCATCCCTATTTGGACTACTGCTTCTTCCCATTCTAGCCAGTTAGTCATCATCCCCACTTCTCCTCATCCTCCTGCCCCTCTGGGCCTCGCCCTCCCTACCTCCTTTCGGACATATCACAGGTCCTGCCTTGTGACCTTCGGTACCGCTCCGCTTCTGTTTACCCTTTGTTCCCGTTCGGACGTCTTCGTTCCGATTCGGTTTCCCTTTGTTTCCTTGTGCTTTTGCCCCCTCCATTATATATATCGGCACTTGTACATACTCGTTTTGGTTCAGTCCGAAATCGACCTGAAATGCCCCCTAGAGACTTCCTGCTCACCTACTGTGAAATTAAGGACCAAATGGACAAACAGCAATGGCACAGCACTCCGCTTGAGTCGCTGAGGCCAAGGTCCCTCCACGCTAAGTCTCTGATTCCACTCCAGAGTCGTCTGTATCTGCCCGGTTCTAACACCAACCTCCCACCGAGTTACGACCTTCCGCCGCTGTCCCATACCTCGTACTCAGACACCGCTCGTACCTTTGCTCCGAGCCTCCATCATAGCTCCTACCTTGGACTTTGACTCCACCTTGGCCTTAGTCCATTGCATTGGTGACCTCATACTACGTAAACACCATTGCCAATATTCCTTGGACTTTCAACCCCACCTCCGTAACATCCGTAAGCTCTGCAACCTCCAAGCTCCACAGATCATCTTCAGCATTTTTGCCACTTGTAATGTATCTCTCGCATTTTCCCCTCATCCCTATTTGGACTGCTGCTTCTTCCCATTCTAGCCAGTTAGTCATCATCCCCACTTCCCCTCATCCTCCTGCCCCTCTGGGCTTCGCCCTCCTTACCTCCTTTCGGACGTACCACAGGTTCTGCCCTATGACCTTTGGTACCACTCCGCTTCTGTCATCCCTTTGTTCCCATTCAGATGCCTTCATTCCAATGCGGACCCCCTTTGTTTCCCTGTGCTTTCACCTTCTCCATTATATATATCGGCGCTTGTACATACTCGTTTTAGTCCTTGGTCTAAAATCGACCTGAAATGCCCCCTAGAGACTTCCTGCTTGCCTCCTATAAAATTAAGGACCAAATGGACAAACAGCAATGGCACAGTGCTCCACTTGAGTCGCTGAGGCCAAGGTCCCTCCTTGCTAAGTCTCCAGTTCCCCTCCAGAATCGTCTGCCCTTGCCCAGTTCTAACAAGCACCTGTCAATGGCCATATCTCAGGAACCACTGCACCAATTGGGACAAATGAGGGTTCGTTGGAAAGCTGGAGACAAGGAGGTTGCTGACGGAAGAATAGGCGGGCGCTGTAGCAAAGTGTTGCGGAGTTGACTTTTACAATTTCCGTTTCGGATCTGTTGTCACAATTTCCCCATTCATTCATATTTCTTTTATTGTTTCTCTGTTCCTAATTGGATATTCTTTATTTACAGTTGCCTATCGGCCCGTTTGCTCTTCCCCATTCCATTAATTTTATTTCCAGTCCATATAAAATAGAAAATACCTTGTACATAACAAGTTAGCACTGAATAGGCCCATGCAGAAGTGAAAAGTAGTTACATCCAAGTGGCAAAGACACCATCCATGACCCTAATGCCCCCCCCCCTGAGCTTGTTGCTAACGTCTAAGATCCCTCTGCTCATAACCCTCAGCCTTGACATCCAAGAGAGACATAGGTGAGTGTTTAGTTGAGGCTCTAGCCGACCCGGTAGCGCCCCAGGACCAAAACCCGGACCTCCCAACCACTTACGCAATCACTACCGCCCTCCCCCTTTTCTCTGTCATGAGTCTAGGTGATAGACCCATTACAATGCCCTTGCCAGCAGTCTCAAGGCCACTGTCATTTCAGATGACCACACACAATGGTGGATTTTGGCATGTGAATATATAGATGCCGTCATTAGGATCATGCATCATGGGGCTTTGTGGAGCTACAGGAACAAGGATCTAGAGGGATTTAACATATGTGAGGATGTGTTTGAGTGGCTGGATGCCGTTTACGCTAAGTGGACTTCCATTCCACTGGTCCGCTTGTATGAGCTCATGCACAAGCACTATCTGAAGTCCCTCCCAACAGATCTCATTGTCCCTCCAGCATTTGACTCATTTCGTCCATCCCTCTCCCCTCTTCCCCTCAATCTTGTGGCCAACTTTGCTCAAACTGACGAGCCAAAATTAGATTCTGATGCCGTCCCTGTGGCATCAACCTCAACTCCCAGACCCATCACTGTCACATCCATACCCAATCCCGAATGCGTCAAATCAGAAACACCCTCTGCACATCAACATTCTGTTGGTTGTGCAGCCTCCAACACCGATCTGAGTCCCACTGCTGCATGCTGTGATGCCAATGCATTGCTGGCTGTGGCTCAACCTCACATATCTCCCCTTCCTCCCAAGTCGACGCACACGATGTCAACACAGTCCAACGTGTTGGCACTGGCATCAACTGATGCATCACTGTTGTCCAGCATGTCCACACTGTCCTCTGATGTGTCAGCAACATCGAAACGTCATTGTCATTGTCGAGGCCAGAAGAAGCACCGATCTGAGCAGCATCAACCTTCTATTCCCACTTCTGCAATTCCACATCCCCCTTCTGCTGCTGTTCATTCCCTCCTTCCCTCCTCCTCTCATCTATTTAAGTTAGAATCACAAAAAAATATTCCATTTCCCATCCTGACATATGCTGCAGTCACTGGCAAGAACCTGCAGCCTTGTCTTTCCTTCCCACTGCTCACTGCCCAACATTGCAGTCTACCAATCAAGATTCATTGAGGTTCAACTAAGGACCCACCTTAGTTTCCATTCACCCAGCATCACCTCCACCATCATCCCTTCTGGATTTCGAAGACCCAAAGGTCATTCGACCTGGGGGGAGTGTAAGGAATGGATGGTGGAGCAGTCCCTTATTTATTTATCTTTATTCTTGTTGTATACAATGTAAAACAACTGTACTTACATATGTATGGCTCGGGCTTGGGTAAAGGGTTCTTCACATCAGGAAACCCCTGAGGCCGATTGAAGTGGTTGAGATCATTTCCACCTCACATGATTTACAATCACTTCAACTGGGTCCCCTGATTGTAATCACACCAATTACGGGGGTGATTGAGCTGATTCAGTGATTGTACGGTTGGTTGTATCGGCATGCTATCACATTCTCTCCCACATTGAAGTTTATCAATAAATTTTATTATATTTGAACATTATGTTGCGTACATACTTGGGAAAAGAACCCAGATACAAGTTATTACAGTAGTACCCAAACACAATGTAATGCAAAATGAAACACAAAATAAAGAGAAGAGGAAAGTGGGTGAAAATACAATGTAATCAAAGAAAGCAGACGCGCGCCTCCACCACTGAACCCTTTGGCACCAAACCCGGCATAAAGGCAGAGCTAGTTGTCTTCTATCGAACAAGCCTAAGATCGTCGGAAACGGATGAGTGGTTGCCAAGTACATGTGGTAAGAAGTTGGGGATAGTGTCACACATGAGAAGTTTGGTTGGAGGTTGGAAATGACATGGAAAAAAACATACAAAAATCATGGGATGGGAGGGGGATGTATCAGAGGGTATTGGGGAAGGGTCAGGCAATCGCGGAATGGTGGTGGCTCATGTAAACAAGCACAAGAGGGTGATTAGGTGGTCAGTTTAGCAACAAACACAGTGAACCACCATACTTACGACTCGACATACAACAATATTTGGGTGGCAAACCCACCCTCATTCTTTCTTTTTCAAGTAAGAAACATCTGGGGTGGAGTAAAAAACATCGTGTTGTGAATGCAACTGGAAAAAAAAAAGAAAAAAGAGACATGCATCATCATGTTTGTTCATGCAGTTCCCACAGCTGGATATTGTGAGTTGTTGATTTGGTGTTGCATGTGAAGAGAGAGTGGAGTGGAGTAGTGGAGTGCGTGAGTTGGAGCAAAGAAAAAACTTCTAAGTTGCAAACCCATTCATTTGAAACTGTACAGCACCTGGATGCAAACGACGGACTCACACACATGGATGTATCCATGTGTGGTTGTGGTGATTGAGATGATTGAGAGTAGTTGATTGGGCAGATTGGGCAGATTGAGTGATTGAATTGCTCTCAACCACTTCAATCGGCCTCGGGGGTTTCCTGATGCCACTCTTTACCCTCACCCACTTGTCAAATCATAGCTCAATACAGCCTAGATCTTCTCAACAGCCAGAGGACTGAGGAGTTACCCAGGTTGGAACCCCAACTGACCTTTCATGTAGCATGTGATATCATAAGTGGATTGAATGGAAAAGGCACTTTCATTGTTGAGGATCACTTTGGGCATCATCCTACCTTGAGATTTGTAGTCAGTAATACAAAATGCTGGGAGCAAAGGCAGTTGGGTTTGCTTCACAGTAACTGATTGACCACTGAATGGGTGTGATACTTTGAAGGATAGCATTTTCGGCAAAATCACACATTCATGAGGGAGCAGCTCTGTAAAAGAATGTTCACTGGAATCTTCAATTCTGACCACACAGCTGGTGGCACACCATGTGCCATGATCATCTGTGGTGTAATGCACTGATTTGAGTATTTCTTCACGATACCCCCTGACACATTGAAATTGTCACAAACCATAACTGGCATGTGAGGCAGTAAAGGCAAATGGCCAATGGTGTAACCAGTCTGCAACTCAGACATGAGATTCAAGAGTAGATCAATCAGTATTTCATCTCTATTTTCTGATTGCAGAGATAGTGGGTGGCTTCATATGTTGAAAGAGGCAGTTGATGATGGGCAGTGAATGTCTTCACTGCAGACCAATTTAATGCATCTTTCACAGCATTGGAGGCTGTTACAATGGGAGCAGCATCCCATGTGTTTGAATTCAGGTCGTCTGGTGGGAGGTGTTAGATATGGTGAGTTTGGATTTCCGGAATGGAATCAGAGACTTATTGTGGAAGGACCTTGGCCTCAGCAACTCAGGTGGAGTGCTGTGCCATTGCTGGTTGTCCTGTGGGTCCCTAATTTCGGATTTAGCAAGGGGAAGTCTCTTAGGGGAGAATCAAGTCGATCTGAGGTTACAAGTTACCAGGTACATTGTATATAAAGGAGGGGTCCAGAATCAAAAGGAGCAAGGGTAGTCTGAAAGGAGACAAAGGGAGCTGGAAGGAGGAACAACACCAAGGGTCAAGGGTTTGACTCAATGGTGTTTCCCAAAGGAGGAGTGAAGGGCCAAGGCCCAAGGAGGAAGGAAGGAGGTTGGGAGTTGGGAATGGCTAGCTGACTGAATAGAAAGAAGCAGCAGCCCAAATAGGAATGAGGGAGAATAGCAGAATTGAATGGGACAATGCAATAGTTGCGGAAAGTCCAAACTTGGAAGTCAAACTCCAGAATATTGGCAAAGGTAAATAAATGGAATTCGCTAACCAATACAATGGGTATAAGCAGAGGTGGGGTCAAATTCCAAGGTCAGAGCTAAGACTGGAGGTTCCAGAGATGGAGATGCAAACAGGATTCCAGAGCTGAGGTCTGGAGTCAGGAGCATAGATGTTGTGTGTTTGTCTGGAAGGTGTCAAGGTTGAGGTCGGACTGAAGATGGTGTTGGAGCCAGAGGTGGGATAACCTCTTGGGAATCAGCAGGGAGAAGGTGATGGAAGGAAGTGGGGCTCTGGAGTCAGTTTTGGAGTTCCAGGAGCCTGGAGTGGAGGTCAGGATTGTATGGATATGACAGGATGGATTGGAGCAGCCAGCTATCCAGCAAAGATTTATCAGCCAGTGTACACATACCAAATCTCAATCTGGTCAGGAGATTGTGAAATGCAGTGTTGTGGGCACCTTCTTGACACATATACTGCTTCAGAAACACCACTGTGTCAACCAGTAGCCACAGCTGAGATCCTTTAAGTTTCTTTTGTCTGCAGTCTGATATAGAGTTGGATGGCTTATTTGTCAGCATCTTAATAGCCATATAGAGTCTGGTGTAGCCAACAGGGGTGTCAGGTCACGGTCCATGTATATAGGGGGTCATGTGACCCAGGGAGGTCATGTCAGAAAATCCTGTATATTGTTTAAACACCCAGGAAACGTTTCATGGCATTTATTTACAATAACTACCCAACAGCTGATGAGAATACATTGGTCAGATGTGGTGGTACTTTATGTGTTATATGAGATGGATTTTTGACGATTTTGATGCTGTAGGAAGCATTTATGACACATTTATTAAGTTATTAAAAACATATTCAGGGGTATAAAAATGCATTCAATAATATCAAAAAATGCCATAAACAATTTATCACAACGTTTAGATGCCAAAATTCATGTTTAAATATCAAATTTTGGCATTTTAAATGTCAAGTCTCGTGCTTTTGATCGATCTCGCAATGTTCCGACACACTATTGTCCTACCCACTGTGAATCACATATATTTGATACTCACAGCTGGGTTCTAGGACACCCACCTTACACTTTTTTGAGTACTTTTTATTTGATATCACACTGATCCCTGGCATTGCTAGGAACCACCACAATTTTATGTGGAACCAAAGTGAGTTCGCAATTTCATTCAAATTCCACTTGCCACTCTGGCAAGCAAAAGACCCTTGCAACTAGCAAGAGGACAAAACCCCCAGTCAATAAGACTGGGAAACAGGTGAAAGTAATGCCAGCACAACCCCTTATGTGCCAGGCAGAGCTGTCACCTGTAGCAGGAGAACCTCACTTTCGCAAGGGTGCACAAATTCAGTCATCAGAAGACCCTTGCTTTTGCAAGGAGATGACTTCTCCTGCACTCCACCCAACTCAGTTGGGTACAAAGGCTTCATGTGATGCCTCCCGGTTGTGCAGGGAGCCAATCCAAGCCAAACTTACATGGCAAAACCTGCCATGTCATCATTCATGCCCAGGCTCCTCCACCCAGGCCTCAGAGCATTACTCCTCCCATTCTATGTGATGGGAAGCAACCAAACGATTGCTCCTGCTTGCACAGGGAGCCGTTTGGAGCTCCAAAAAATGTGGAAAAATCATCCACATCTTCAGAATCGTCTCATGTCAGCTGCACAACATCCAGCTTGCAATATTGCAGCAAGCCGGTTCACTCCCAAGTCTATTTGACTGGGAGTTACACAAAACCATCAAACAATCACTCCCACTGGCACAGGGAGCCATTTTTGATTCCAAAAAATGTGGAAAGATCTTCCACATCTTCAGCATCGTCTCGCATCCGCTGTGAGACATACAGCTTGCAATATAGCAGCAAGTTGGTTCACTCCCCAGTCTATGCAACTGGGAGTTGTCATAAACAACCAAACGACCACTCCTGCTTGTGCAGGGAGCTGTTTGGAGTTCCAAAAAATGTGGAAAAATCGTCCACATCTTCGGAATCGTCTCACATCAGCCGCGAGACGTCCAGCTTGCGATATAGCAGCAAGCCGGTTCACTCCCCAGTCTATGCGACTGGTAGTTGTGCAAATTGTCTACATTGTCTCACATCAACTGTGAGATGTCCAGCTCGCAAAATCGCAGCATGCTGGTTCACTCCCCAGTCTATGTGACTGGGAATTGTGCAAAACAATCAAACAACAACTCCTGCTTGCACAGGGAGCCGTTTTTGATTGCGAAAAATGTGGAAAAAACCTCCACATCGTCGTTACTGTCTTGCAGCCATAGTGAGACGTCCAGCTCGCCGCCTAGGCATGAGCCAGTTCAAACCCCAGTCTATAAGACTGGGAATCATCCAAAACCCTCATGGAATCACCCCTGCTTGTGCAGGGAGCCAGTCCTGAGTGGAAAAAATTTCCACATTGTGGTCATCATCTCACAACCGCAGTGAGACTAGCACTTCATCCAGGAATGAGTGCATCCACTCTAACATGGACAAAGAGTCCATGTCATCCAAATCAACACATAAACCCATGTTAATTTCGCCTCTATCCAAGGCACTTCTGGACTTTGTCCAGTTCCCAGCTGAATGGAGGGTGGGGAGTGCAGAACAGATAATCACCAGACTAGAAGTCTGGGAATCGATAAGGAAGACCAAGCCACACAGTGAGTGCCTTGGGAACCCCAGATCTGGGGGACAACCATCATCGCATGCACTTAACATGCGCGATATTTCTGATTCTTCTTTGGATATGTGGGAGCCGAGGGGATTCTCCCAGAATATGGTGGAATGGCACCACATCAGGCCACAGGATGACCACCTGCACTCAGGGCCAGGTTCATCAGGTGGTGGGAGGTGGTCTAGTGTCAGGGGACAACTCCCGGGTCCCCATGACCCTCCCCTATGGTCCACAGCCTCAGGTGTAACCAGCCCTATCCAGGGCACAACCTACTGTGGGTAAGAAGATGAGAAGGAAGCTAACTTCTCATCTTCCCACAGTGATCACCATATCAGGAAACTTCTGGGAATATCCAGAAGCCACATGAGGATAGGGCCCAGGGGCTGGAGCATGTGGTGCGCAGAGCATGCGGTGCAGGGCATGTGTGCAGGAAGCACAGCAGGTCCAGACATGGGTCCGGGTCCGGGCTAGGTCAGGGTATGTGCCCTGACATCTAGCCAATTACCCTCTGGGAAATTGCCAAGGAGACTCTCCCAGAATTTGGTGGAACAGCACCACATTGGGCCACAGGATGACCACCTGCATTTAGGGCCAGGTTCATCTGGTGGTGGGAGGTGGTCTAGCCAATTACCCTCTGGGAAGTCACCAAGGGGACCTTCCCAAAATATGGTGGAACAGCACCACATCAGGCCACAAGATAACCACCCAGAATTGGGGCCAGGTTCATCAGGTGGTGGGAGGTGGTCTAGCCAATTACCCTTTGGGAAGTCACCCATTGCCAAAGCAATGCCAACACCAGTTTTTCCTCTGGAAAAACCTCATGGTCTATCCATGAGAGACAGAGATCACACTCTCTGTAACCCATTTTTGGGGGAAAATCCCTGAAAGTTTTCAACTTTTCCCCTTTCATCATCTGAAAGGGATACCACTATACCATCCATTCACTATGGGGAAACCCATAGTGATCCACCTGTCCAGCCAACAGATAAACCACCCCCAAGGGAGGTTAAACTCATCATCTGGCTTCCAGATGATGTGACCTTACCCAATACTGGGTAAAACTGCTTCCTAGATTAGGAAGCAGGTGGAGCAATGCCAGGTCTCACAAGGCCAATTGTTCCTCTGGCCATACCCTTATTGTCAGGGATGGCTCGAGAGAGGCAGGGGTAGTGGTGTAGCACTTGGTGCTAGCAGCCCAGGTGGCAGTGGGGCAGTGAGACTGTATGGTGGGCAGCCCCCTACTTGGGCTTATGTCCCTATGTGGCTTCTTAGGCTGAAGCAGGAGTGTATTGTTATTAAAATGGAAGGCTAAACTAAGATGGACTACTTGCCTGAAGCAGGAGTGAGAAGAAGGCTGCTTCTTCAGTCCTGCTTCGGCTTATATACATGTGAAAACAGGTCACATGGAGGTGCCACATCAGCCCCGGACTAGGCCAGGTTGTTGCAGGTGGCTCCACAGTTGATCCCAAGTGTCAGAGGGGGGAAGTACAAGTAAGGATGCATGGCACATCCGGTGCTGCGGTACCCATGCAGGGTG